CGGACTCACAGAGCACGCCGCACAGTGGTCCAGAGTGGCGAAAAATCAGGTTCGCCACCGAATGCTTCTAAAACGATTTCTCAGCATAAGTCTCGATGCCCGGACTCCATTTTGGGTCTCGGAGGCTGCGCGTTCCGTGTGGGGGGCATTCCAATGGCGATGTTTTCTGACGGGAATTCATCCCAGGATATGCTTGTCCGAATGAAAGGAAAAGCATTCCTCGAAGAGAAAAGGAAAGAGGAAGAAAGAAAGAACAAAGAAGAAAGGAAGGAAAAAGAAAGAAAAGAAGAAAAAAAAACGAGTCCAACGAGTTCCTTTCAGGTGGCTTGGCTTTGCAAATTACACACTGAGCCATGTGAGGCACTCCATTGATGATCTGGATAATCTTGCCGTCGATCATTGATAGGATCATTTTGAAGTCCACTGACAAAGTTGGTTCTCTTATTGTTACCACGAGGTCCGATATCTCTTCTTCGACTCGAGCTACGTGTGCTTCGATCACTTCCGGTGTCAGCTCGAATCTAAGGGGTCGACAATTGTTCGTAGATGAAGGCTTGGGATTGTTCCAGAAGATAACCGTTTCCTCGGAAGTCTTGCTGAGTCGGAGAGACGTCACAGAAACGAGAAATAGATTACCGTCCGAAAGAGAATCACACAAGGACCCCTGTTTGTACTCCGAGTGTCCAGAGGATCCATCGCAACCCCATTTTGACAAGAAAGTCAAGTGCTCCTCCACCAGGTTGAATTCTGGCTCCGGTAGCGAGCTTAGTAATCGCTTCACAGAGTGCTCTAGGAGATCCTTCAGCGGGACGGAAGCGTGCTTCTCTGTTGCCTCGATGTTGGTCGGATAGCATTGTTCCTTCCCAGTCAACACCTTGTTGTATGCAGGGAAAGCATCAAGACCGAGCTCTCTCTTCAATTCAAGTCTCAGATCTATGCATAGTTCCTTCGCTATGTTCAGATCGACTTAGAGTTGTAGAGCCCTCAGGGGATTGACGCTGAATATAAGTT